GGGGGGCGGAGGGGGGGGGGGGGGCCTGAAGTTGGGCCGATCGAGACAACACTATCCGCGAAATTTTTGTGTTCTAGACGCCTGAAAATAACATTAATTTTGAGGCGTTCTGGGCTTATATTTTTTTTCCTTTTCTTTCTTTTTTCCTTTTTTTTTCCCCCCCCCCCCCTAAATCCGGCCCTGTTAGCTTTTTATCGTTGATCGCTATCGGCATAGTGTGCTTATGTATCGTCACCAGTATTTTCCACGTGTATACGGAAACTTACTGCGTCGAACTGGGGATAAGCTCCAGCCCTATGAGCCCCAGTGGCTCGGAAACGATTTAGTTAGTAGTTAGTAAACCCTTTATTGTACTCATTATAAAACACACGTTATTAAATCACACATTTAAACACGCTATCGGAGGCTAGGCTTATATATCACGCTGTGAGAAAGGACAGTGGTAGTAACTCTATGTTGCAAATAAATAGACGTGCTGCAACTTCAAAACTGGAAAGTTGTTCAACGTCGTACGTCCAACAGGTGGGCGGCGAAGTAACTCAGCAGCCCCTGGTTAGGTGTGGGAGGTGGGTCGGTCAATACTGTAGTTCGGCTAAACACCTTCTTTTGAGAAAATTCCTTTTGATAAAGCAAACAACCCTGGCTCTCAAAACCATCACAATGATAATGACACACAACTCCTGAGGGGCACTGTCTCCTCACTCAACAAAAACTTTTCCCCTGACAGGGCACCTTGTCAGTAAAAATACTACTGTGGTTTACAATCATATTATTTTAGCAAAAGACATTGGAAGATTAAGTGAAGCAGTACAGGATTGTGAAGGGAGACTGACCAGCCTAAATTGACACCTGTTCCACGCTTGTCCTATAGTTGTACTACTGATGTATTGTCAAAAGACTCCCTCGATCAAATCCGAACAAAAAAAAAAACAGAGATCGGATGAACGGAACTGCTATTGATCTGATATAGGCCTACATAACATGTCGATAATCAGCTAATACAATCTGACTGCCAAAATTAATGTCGATGTGACTCTCTTAAATAAAAACTCTGACTTAAATTAAACACTAAATTTTCACTATAAATATAGATAGAGATGCCATAATCACAAATTTTCTTACTTTAGAACCAACTATGGTGGGGCTGGAGGTGGTATAGATCCTCCCTCTTTGAAAGTACCTCCCCGGGCCCCCCGCTATGTTGAATTCCTGGATCCGCCACTGGGTAATTTTATCGGGACGATCTGATCTTTTAGTCGTTCTTCTAAATAGGCCTACGCCATATTATATACAAATGTTGCAACAATCATCCAGATCACATAGGCATCATAAAGACTTTGGAAGTCGTTCCTTTGTTTTTTATTTTTTTTTATCAACATGGGCCTGTTGAGTAAACTTTCCCAGTTTTAAAGGGTATTCCAAATTTTATTTCCAATTTAATTTGCTATTATACTAATTACAAACACCCTTCATACAGCAAACAATCCCGTATAAACCATCAGAATGATGATATCCAAGTCCAGAAGGACTTTTTCCCCTGACCCAACGAAAGTTTTCCCCCCGGACTGCACTAGGGCATCTAGACACCACTGGCTTTCATTGGAGTATCAACTTCCCTCATTCTACAAAGTTTGTAGAACCACCACACATTTTGTTGACCTCTTTACGTGGATAGTACGATTATCTATCTGAGAAGAATAACGAATTTTATTTTTGTTTTTATTATATTATTTATCAACACACTCATGCAATAAGGATTGTCAATAGCGAATGTATCACTGTTCTCTCTTGTAGGTGACAATCCCTTACACAAGACAAACATCACGGTGCTCAAGATAGGAGGTTTAGGGAGGTTTTGGTCTTCAGAAAAAACCTGCAACACTGACAGGAATTGAACCAAGGACCCTGGGACTGGAAGGCAAGCATCCTAACCACCATGCTATTCAACTCCATATACCGGTACCGTATCCTGCTACAAACTGATGGAAAAATTCAAGATTTTTGAGAAAAATACTCACAAGTTAACGCTTGCAAAAGAATATACCGGTAATTATTTATTTTTGATATAGAATCAAGTGAAGAGTAGTGTGACATAAACAGATTATCAGCTTCAATGGCAATTAAGGTCATACAAAGAAGTTCATGAAATTCAGAGCGCAATTTAATTTAATTTAATTAACTGTCCATGAAATAATTCTAACGAAAGACCACGTAAAATAGATAGGCCTTACCGGTTAATAAGCAACTCATCTACACTTCCTTGAAGGTACAAGTCCGACCTGGTCCAGGTAGTGCTAACTTAAGTGATGTTGGCATGTAGACCTACTATAGTCCTAAAAATTCTGGGGAAAATATTATCGTATTAGTCTGAAACCTGGATATTGCGCAGTAATGGTAATAGTGACATATTTTTAAAGCGCATCCTACGAAATCGTCTCTGCGCTAAGAAACCACAGCCCATGTGCACAAAAAACAAGAATCAAAAACAAGATCCAAATAAAAGGAATCAAGTTCATAAATAAAATAAAGAGAAGTTATGAGATTTGAGCCGAGACTTGAATGTCATGGAGTCACACACAGTCTCAGGTAGTTGGTTCCAAAGCTTTGGAGCAGCAACAATAAAATGGAGCAGCAACAATAAGGTGACCAATGGGACAGTTGAAAATGGTAGATGAAGATGAGGTAGAACGCAGTGAAATAAGATTGGAGAAGTTACGTGAGGAAGATTTATGGAGTTACTTGTATACAAATAACAAGATCTTGAAGTTAATTCTCAGATGAATCATGAATGGGTACGTCGTTCCAGTAGATGTACAATAACAAAATTCGGCCGATGATAAGTTCAGAATTGTGTGAAAATGGAGAAAAATGATGTCAGATCCCGACAGAGGCTCCATTGTAAGACATGAGGTATGTAATGGCAGACAAAATTAGGCACAACATCGATTATAACCAGGTGTACGTTAACTTGGACGACACTATTTCTGATCTAGAATTAGGGTTAGATCAAGATTACCGGGGTAATAGGGCCTACATTTCTTGGTCTTTTTTTTCATAGAGGTCGCCATTGCTCTATATGTCGACCATTACTATTATTTTATTAAATGAACCCTCCCCTTTCCAGGTAACCTGTTTATTTGACATAGATGTGGGGGAAACGTTGTTACGTTTTTAACAACTACAAAACACCCAGCGTCTAACACGATTCATACAAATTCAATTGAATTGATAAAAGCAAAAGCGAGTTTATACAAGCGCAAATTTGCTACCTTTAATTACTCCAAAACTCCGTAAACGATGACCTTTTATTTTTTGTCTTATTGCACAGCTGCCGCAGTCATCATATTGACGATTCTGCAAACTATACATTGTACGAAGTCCCGACGGATATCATATAAAGTAGCCTTGACTAAGTCTTCTGAAGATTTGCCTTTATAAATAGGCCTAACATTGAATGTACTTTACATCTTGGCAGAATGACAATTTGAAATTTTGCCATGAGAACGCCTTAAACTGGTCATTTAGACGTTAGTATCTTAGAAGTTCACCAAGATACGATATGATAAAATACGGATGGTAATTAATAAACTCTGGATTTTATCAGAGAATTGATATAAACAAGGGTGCCATTTTCCAGTATGACTATTAGTAGTATCAAGCACAAACGTTCGTAAAGATATTCGCTAACATTTCATTTACTTTGTGACGATATTTCATTTTACATGTACATATCTTGGTCCAGTTTTGCATAGCATCGACATTATTATCCCGTAAAATTGTATACGTAATGTTATGTTATTTTCGATGGTATAAAAGTTGCTAGCATTAATTTGTTTATCGTTTTGAAAAAAAAAACAAAAAAAAACAACAAAAAAACGATCCGACAAAGCACGTGTGTGCGTACCATAAAACCTCGAATTGAAGCCCTGGGCTTCTTTTTTTCTTTTGCGAACTTTAAATGGCTTTTTTTTCGAGACAGATGGGCTTCTTTTCGAGGCTACTTTTGGAAACTAAAGAGAATGGCTTCAATTCGGGACGGGCTCCTTCACGAGTTTAAGCATGTATTCTATTCGAGGTTCTACGCAGGGGTGTATCCAGGATTTTTTCTGGGTGGGCCGTGATCATGATTCTTTGAACCTTTTCATAATGAAATAACAGCAAGATGTGATTAAAATGTCAACACAATTTGCATGAAGCGGATGGTAGGCTCAGTTGCATCATGCAATTGGCAAGGTCTTTGGACTCATTGCTGGTACCTCATCAATGCTTTTTAATTTAAGTCATTATGAAAAGGCCCTAGAAAAAAATGTCTTTGGAAAAAATGTGGACCGTTGAAATTTCTTTTTTTTTTTTGAAGGGGGGGGGGGGGGGGGGGTCATACGACCTTCCCGACCTCCCCTTGCATACACCCATGCTACGATATGGTTTTACACTGGGAGCTTTCGATTGCACGACGACGGTAGAAGGTAGAACGTAATGAAGTCAGTAAAAGTCATGTGCGCATGCGAAAACGTTAAGTTCACCTCGTCGAGTAGATTCTGTAATGCAATTTGGCCAAATCTACGTATGCAGAGAACGTTAGATACCAGGTAGGACGGTCACGCATGAGTGATTCTTTTCTAGCGTCGCACAAATCGTTCTGTAGGACCTAGCAACAATATCCAAGGGGCGGTGCTTAGTGGAATAGTCTATTACAATGCTCTACTCGTTATTCCAACAAATACACACGTACGACGGTGTCAATCCTTCGCAAATTCTTTATTCAGGCAATGGAGTCATTCACCTCGTTCAAAACATCGAGCTATCCAAGGCAATTAAATTGGTCACAACATGCAATTTACACAATTGTACATCTGACAATATATTTGCAATATTTATCCTATATTTTTCAAAAAAAACAACTACAATAACAAAATTAGGGGACTCGGCAATGTCAATGCAACTATATGTTTTACTTAAATATATACAATCTTTTAATCAATTAAGCATTTAATTTCTCGACAAGTATTATTCACAAAAACCCGGAGAACTGAAAACGGGCAGAGTTCAAGTAATCACATATATTATTTTACACAACAAACAAATTTTATACAAATATGTCATTTTCAGTTGAGAACCATGTTAGATAAGTTAGAGTTATTACAAAATTTTGGGAGGACCCATAATGCTACACACACCAGAACCCACGTACTGGTAATTATTTCATATTTCCAAATACTGTTTTCACTGGTGCATACGCTTATAGTAAGTACAGTATACAAAATTATCATCAAGAACGTGCACTATTTATTTAATTACATGTATTTATTTTAAAAATACATTTTGATAATGATGAATAATGCATTCGAGGGCGTGCCGATGAACCTTTCCGAAGTGTCAATCAAGATTAATTAACCAATCAGAAAAAGGCTTGGAATACGCGCTTGTCCTACATACGCTAGTCCCCATTGAGTTGTTATAAATTAATAGGAATTTTGTTGAATAGATGATCTAAGGTAGTTCCACAGTCACACAAGTTTTCGGTTCCTTAGCAACGGTATCCCAAGGAGCAGATTTTAGTGGAAAGGTCCATTAATATTTCTAGGAATTGTACACAAATACATTTTCAAAAATTAATGTCAGTAATTATTTAGATTAATTTACCCTTGACTTAAATCTGAATTGATAAAATAAAACGTAGGCCATCACTGTATTGCAGTAAAGTGATTAGTTGGGAATACTCCCTTTTTAAGATTAAACTACTACAGTACTGTACAATTCATTATTAAATAATAAAAGCATAAAACAGCATATACATTTGGGAATTAAGACCAAAAATATTCATCAGCCTACCTCGTCATTAAGCCTTTTTAAACAAAATATTGAAAATGTTAACAGAAGAATATTTCTTTTTGGAAAGCAGTTAAACGTGGTAGAAACTATAGCCCAAATGAACACTAAATAAAAATGAAAAAACAAACTAAATTGTTTACAAGTTTCATGGGTTTTTGTTGATATTTTACATTAAAATGCACAAAGTAACTTGCCCCAGTTATTTTACTTACTAGCCAATACTGATGATGATGTGGTGGTGATGACGAATTATAAATATGCTAAATTTCTGGACTGTATTTATCCTCGCAGCATGAGATTTAAAAAAAAAACATAACTTTCTTGAATGCAAATTTACTCGATTCTAACTTCCTTGAAATCAACAAGTAAATTTTTATTCTAATAACAAAGAAATTTACATAATTACATCAAGAAGAGAATTAAAATCTTCATAAATAATTTTATCGAATTTTAGTATTTTGACATTTCATTACATATGATTCAAATACATTAATAATTAAAAAATAAATTATTTTAATTTTCGTGAATTGTAAATCCTCAACTAATTCAGAAGGTATTTGTTTAGGTTCTATAAAAAACTCACAAAATCTCACATTTATTTAAAATATTCAAATGTGTAAAAAATTTGCACTTTTTTTGTCATAACGGTGGCTAATCGTCATTAAAATTGAATTTTAATATACTAACCCAAATTTTAATTTTCTTATACATTACTGGTGCATTTTTATGGTCAAGATGGATTTAACAATGATAAAACAATTTGAATTTTACATTTGCGAATCTTAACCAAATAATTAAGTTAAAATATTAAATTCCTTGCACATCTTCCACAAAAGGTTTAACATAAATTATTATTAATATTATTAAAATTATTATTATTATTATTATTATTATATTAGTAATTATAATATACTAGTACAGTATTATCAAATCATCATTAAATAATTACACCATTATTATTTCAATAATTACTTTGTTATAAGTATAATGGTTTCTCATTAAAAAATAATTTACTTGGAGAATATATTAAAGGTGGGAGGGGGAGGGAAGGAACTAGGCTAATTTAGTGGCATGTTCAGAGTGAGTGGGGAACATTTCATTAATGGAATCATCCAAACATATAACATGGAATATAACAAGGATTTATTATTTCCCATGAATTTCATATCTTTAATTATTTATCCCTATCAATTGAAATGAAAACCATGCCAACAGGCATGCTGTTACTATGGTTACACGAATACAGTAATTACAGCATTGTTAAAAAAGCATTTACAAGAAGCAAATTTAAATCCGGGATCTTATGTTTGCATAAAATAAAACAAAGAGAAGATAAAAAACATTAAGGAATGTTAAACTTTAAAAAAATATTATTTTTATTATTACTGATAATTAAAGATTAAAATACAATTTTCTTATTCAGTTCTCGCTTCCAGGCACTATTGTGAATAACTAACAGAACAAAAATCCCATTAAAGTATCACACACTGTTACATTCCAAATTTTAAAATATTGAAACAGATAAATCACTACTTAATACAGAGATGTCAAACCAACTAACTCTTCAAACATTTAGAGGTTTCACTTGATCTGATATTTGTGAGTAGGCAAGAGTGATGAACTTACAAGCAACATAAATTAAAAACATACAGAAATATGATTTTTAGTAATAATATTGATATAAATATAGCAACACGTTCACATTACTGACCCTTGATTTGGTTGATAAAAATGTATTTTAGTTGCAGCTTAAGATAGTGGATAATTAGAAGAAAGGGGTTATAGCAATCAGAATAGCGACATGAAGCCAGTAATTTTACTGAATAGTTTAACAGCAACAACTATAAGCACAGATGATCGTCAGACTCCTCCTCCACATTCTCAAACCCTATATCCCCCATTCTTGCATTCTGTGTCATATTGACATCTTAAACTCTACAACTCTTTTTAACAAGATGCCAGAGTATTACTGACGCATTTCCATAGCAACAATTACATACATGTTGTTATGTTAGATATGCTGTTGTCAGGCAACAGTTGTTACTAGGTAACACATTGTGTTGCTAGGCAAAAAAATGTGTTACTAGGTTATGCATGCTGTTGCCAGGCAACAACTTGTGTTATTAGGTGGCACAGTGTTGCTAGGACACACATAATTTACAAATAGACATGTTGTTGCCAGGCAAAATGTATAATTTTAAAACATATTCAACACATGGGGATATATTTCATGTACATCATTTACAATGGGCCAGCCCAAGTCTGGACATACCATTTTTACACAATTCATTACAACTCTATAAGATGCAAATTAAAGCTCCATTGTGTTACTGATATATTCAACCCCCACTTTTAATTATCTGTACAGCAGCTTCACTCCGACACGCCTGTCACTTGCCAAACTATCAGATGACTTCGTTCAGATTTCATTTGTTTGTTCGGCATATCACCAAGGTTACCGCCTGCAGCCTCTTCATCTTCATCATCCCCTGAAATGAGAAACAAAAGGATGTGCCACCATGAAATAAATTAACTCTCACCTTGCCAATGAATGTTGAATCGTAATCAATTTGGCAGGCTGTACATGGAAACACATTTTTACGAAATGGTTCTTAACAAAACCTATTTGATTTTTTTTTCTCCTCAAGCAAAAATGTGTATTACAACTTATAATACCAGCCCCTACCAATATATTGGCTGACAGTAAAGGGGACTGCGACCTCTACGATGAAAGATATTGGTCCTTGACCGCACCACGGATTAGTGAGTAGACGATAAACAAATATGGAGGCTATGCCAAGTTGGTTCGAGCTCCTGGATAAAGAAGAACTAACCTAGGCCATTACTTCTTGATAAAGCTGATTGCAAAATGCACCAAAAGACAAATTAAATATGTCTTGTCAATATTCGACAAACATTGCAAGATGATTTGGTGCTGTTGAAATTGAATAAATGAGCAAAAAAGAGCTAGACACACTCTTTGATCACCTAGTGTGTAGGCCTCTCTAGGCTACGCTAGGAAGTAAGTTCTTTTTAGGCCTCGTAGCGGTATATAAAACAAATATTGACTGCTCTAGATTTGGGAAATGGTGAAATCTATTGCCCTTCGGTGATGTGGAGACCGTAGCCTATCTTCCCTCAACCCTGTGGAAGATAGGCTATGGTCTCCACATCACCTTGGGGCAAAAGATTTCACCATTCCCCTCATGAGCAGTCAATATTTGTATACTCTATTGATATATTGGTATGGACTGGTATTACAAATTGTAATATAGGTGCATATTAATACAGTAAATGAATGTTGTTTGTGATTCGTTATTAAAACCAAACAATGCGCTTGCCAAAAATAGCTCTGTTCACGCAAGGTTTATGCACTGATCTCTACTATAATAGCTGGATTGCTTGTTGACCAACCATTTTACAGAAAAAAGTGAAGCCACTGACGCTAAGTTGGAGGGCCTAATGTAATGTATCAGTTGGACAAGTTTCGTTTGGCATTTGTTTAAATTATTGTTAAAAATAACGATTCATGCAATACTTTTTCTATAACAAATTTAAATTTAACGCAAGGATTTTTTTCAAGTCATCTAAAAAAATTGACACGACTGTTTAGGCCTATGTAGTTTACAAAAATGTGAGTGAAGCCGCGTTGTTACAGTAACGTCGATCGACCTTACTTGTGCTTTTTAAAAGGACAAACAGTCATGTCGAGTGGTTAGATGATCTGAAAAATAATCATTATGTTAAATTTATCATTAAAAAGTATTACAAGAATTGTTATTTTTTACAATAATTAAAACAAATGCCAAAAGAAACTTGTCTAAACTGTTATGTCACGTAGGCCCCCAACATGGCATCGGTGGCTTCAATAAAACCAGCCAATGAGCAATCCAGCTATTATAGTAGATATCAGTGGGTTTATGTGACAAATAACTGGTTTACCCAAATATGGGCATAATATGACATTATCATGCCAAGTAAAGGGCAAATCACACACATGACATCACAACATGACCATATATAGGCACATCATGACTATATATGGGCAAGTTGTGATGTCATGTGTGACAAGGACAAATCACACACACAATTCTCAATTCATTTCCTTATCAAAGCATTACATTGTACATTTTTTCAAGTTGAGTTGACTCAAAAATCTATTTTGAGAATAATAATGTACAAAAATAGAAACTGAAAAGCATGAATCTACTTTTGTTAAATTACAAGCAGAGATGTAAGCGAGTGTGAGTTGACATTTAATTTAGCAGATTAAGTCATAAAAGTGTAATAACCGCTGAACATGCTGATTTCATGTGAATTTGTAGTTTCCTTATTAAATATCTTGTACTTTTCCCAGAAAAATTTATTATATAATATTAAATATAATATAGTACAAGATGTGATGATACTGTATAACTTTTTTATACCTTGTTTAGCAGAATCTTAGGAGGAAAAATAGAAAAAAACAAAAAAAAATAATTATTATTTGTTATTATTTTAAGTTAGGGGTCCGAAGTCTCCAGCGAGTCCTAGAGATCGGGAAGGTCTTCCGCACTCCTGCAAGCAAGAAACTCCTGGAAGATAACCCATCTCCCAAAAATTCACAATATTTGCATGTTTTTACCAGATTTATACTACTTTATTATCAATTGTCTTCTGGAAGTCGGTGTCAATGGGTATCACTATCCACAGAAAAATATAATTAGAAATGTTAACATCTTTCCCAGATGTGGCTTCTTCCAACTTGGGAGCCCTGGTATGTAAACAAACTGGTTCTACTTCTCTGTTTTTATTATTATAAAGATTATTATATTTATTATTGTTATTGTTATTATTATTATTATTACTTTTACTATTATATTCTTTGATTTTTTAAGTTTTCATGGGTGGCTTTTATGCTAGCGGCTGTTGCAACCATTCCCAGAAAAGAGAGAGGGAGAAAAAAACCACTGGTTCTAACAAAAGCAGAGGAAACTAAAATTGTACTGATGAATAATAAAAAAAAAATTGAGGTTCAGGAAACATGTTATAAAAATAATCTTATCTTAGACATGACATGATTCAATGTGAGGTCACTTGTGCATATTTTAGAATGTGAAATATACACAAGATTTGATGACATCACAAGGATAGCTGTGATATCATCACAATTTGTGCATAAAATATAAACAAAAAATGTGATGACATCATAACAATAATATAATTCTCCTTTTTGCTATATTTCAGAATGTGAAATATACACAAGATATGATGACATCACAAAGATTGCTGTGATATCATCACAATTTGTGCATGAAAAATAAACAAAAAATGTGATGACATCATAACAATAATATAATTTCTCCTTTTGGCTATATTTCAGAATGTGAAATATACACAAGATATGATGACATCACAAGGATTGCTGTGATATCATCACAATTTGTGCATGAAATATAAACAAAAAATGTGATGACATCACAACAATAATATAATTCTCCTTTTTGCTATATTAATCAGAATGTGAAATATACACAAGATATGATGACATCACAAGGATTGCTGATTTATCATCACAATTTGTGCATGCAATAAACACAAAACAAGTGATGACATCATCATAAACAATACTATCATTCTTCTCATTTTCATATTCGTTACAGTACCTTGTCTGAAATCAATGTAGCCTTCTCCACCACTGAGAACCAAGATGTTTTTACTGGTTTGCTGATCCCCGGCGATCGGTGCCCCACTTGCCGTCGTAGACCTCACGTTACTTGCTATTCCTGAAATTAGTAAACAAATAAGATAATTCATCTTTTAATTTATTTGATATGAATAATAAAGGTAACAATAGAGGGTGGCGGCTGGTTTTTTTTTTCCAGTATAATGTATTATTATTTTAATAAGAGATTAAATTAATTTTGTGCAGTTTGCTCAACATGACAACTATACTTTATACCACTTTCATGGTAGGTTGCATTTAATTAATATATAGCTTAAATATTTCTTGGCACTCCAGATTAAAGATTATCTTACAGATCAATTTGTTATATATATAATTTATACTAAATATAATATATCTTATTATTAATAATCGAATTGAAACCGAATGGATATTGTAATGTTGAAAATATACTTATATTTTTTTACTATAATTTTGATGGAAATGTCGTTTATATCTACCTCATGAGTAGTTACATAGCAGTGTTGTTAAAATAATAATGCACAAAAATATGCAAATTAAAGCAATAGTCATAACGAAGTCACTTTAAGGTAAATATATTTGCCTTATAATTTAAAGTAATATTTTGCCTTAAAATTTAAAGCTATAAAAAAAAACATGTTTGAGAAATTAAAACTGATTGGATATATTCAAATGTTTGTTTTTGCATCTTTAAGTGTTTTCTATGAAAACGATGTGTAAAATCAATAGACATAAGACAGGAATATTAGTGCTTCTATCTACAATCACAGCAAACATAATTTAAATTGTATAAAACAGATGATTATGATGGACGTGAGAGTATTACTAAGCGGATGGTTAGGATTACATGATTGAATGAGCATATTGCTAAGATTAAATGACACAATTGAAAGCAACAAATATATATAAGGAAACAGATTAAAAATTAGTGTTATATTAAGTTTGGGTTATCAATTGTGATATGCTAGCTTGATGGCAATGATGATTGATAGTATTATTTGACAGTGATTAGGATGATCAGGTTGGTGATGACGATGACAATGATAGAATATGATTGTGACGGCATGGCAATAATGAAGATGATGATGATGGTTGATGATGATATATATTATTATTATTATTATTATTATTATTATTATTATTATTATTATTATTATTATTATTATTATTATTATTATTATTATTATTTTATTTAGGCACACAACACATGCACCAAGGATTGTCAATAGCGAATATTATCACTGTCCTACTTTGTAGGTGACAATCCCTTACACAAGACAAACATACACACGTGATGCTTTACACAAACTAAATCTCAATATGAGATTTAGGGAGTGGAGTTGTTTTGGTCATGAGAAAAAATCCTGCAACTGGCAGGAATTGAACCCAGTACCCTGGGATTGGAAGGCAAGCATCTTAACCACCAAGCTATTCAACTCTATCTTCACTAGAATGTTGTTTGAAGGTTTGCATGGCGAAGTAATAGCATATATGTTGAAGCTTGCGGTACACCACGTAGGTAGTTCTGAAAAGAATTGTTGTAGTTGAGTCTCAACTACAACAGTTCTTTTCAGAACTACCTACGTAGTGTACCGCAAGCTTCAACATATTCACTTGAAGTGTATACAAAATGTACATAAAAGTAGGTTCAAAATACATTTGTTTACTTTTACAGTATGTATAATTTATGTATCTCTACTATGTTCTTGATGATGATGGTATTGATGGTATTGATGCTAATGATAACAATGACAATGGAAGACATTGATCATGATTGTTGATAAAGACAATGATGATAATGATTTTGATGAAATTAATGATGTTGTTAATGGTGTTCACCACAATATTAATGATGCCTTGATAATTGATGAAAACTAATCTTGATGCTAAAAGAGTGCAAGATAAATTATTTTTGTCACGATTGTAATAATAATATTGATGAAAATGACAATGACGTTAAAAAATTATTATTATAATCAATGAGTTGACAGCATTGCTATTGGGAAACAGAACAAAAATCATTATTCTTTTGGCAAATTAGCTAAGCAGAGATGACGGAAAAGTTGCCATTACTGTAGGAAAAAGGTTACAAATCATATTTATTGCTATCGTATAGAATTAGTTAACAAAGTAACAGTCCTGATTTGTGGACAATAAATGTACAAATGTAATAGTAATTGTGATGACATTTGAAGTGGATACAAATGCCAAAGTTGAAGGAAGAAATAAACACTAAGAGTGCACAACTTGTGCAAAGCTAACAACCTCAGCTATGTTTTATAGTCAACATATCCTATGCATTATTTATGCCAAATAAAAAAAAAATTTTTTTAAAAAAAAATTTTTTATACCTTAAAAAAAAAAACAAAACTAAAAAAAAAAAAAAAACCAAAAAAAAAAATAAAAAAAAAAAACAAAAAAAAAAAAAAAAAAAAAAAAAAAAAAAAAAAAAAAAAAAAAAAAAAAAAAAAAAACAGAATGAAGAGATGTATTCTTCAACCGTATAAGCACACAACTTGTGCAAAGCTAACAAGCTCAGCTATGTTTTATAGTCAACATATCCTATGCATTATTTATGCAAATAAAAAAAAAAACAAAAAAACAAAAAAAACAAAAAAAAAAAACAGAATAAAGAGATGTATTCTTCAACTGTATAAGCACACAACTTGTACAAAGCTAACAAGCTCAGCTATGTTTTATAGTCAATATATCCTATGCATAAATAATGCAAATATAAAAACAAAAACAAAATAGAATACGGAGATGTGTTCTTCAACCATGTATTGTAAATATATAAATGTATTAAAAATAACTTAAAATACTATGTAGATATAAATAAATAGAAATTTAGTTGATATATCGAATGCACTATTTATACAAATATAAAATAACTGATAGTAACTGATAGTAAGACAAGATGTATACGTTGTTCATAATATATTATAAATATAATATACAATTTAAAAAAAAATGTATATATAAAGTAGGCTCAAAATACATTTTCATCATAATGTGTAAAACCATAAAAAATAATTTTTTAATAACAATAGAATAAATATGGAAAAGTAAAAATAATAATTAGCAATAACAATATATAACAAAAGAAGAAATAATACTCAATAATATAACAAAAATTAGGCCTAGTAAAATAATGTTTGATAACAAATAAGGAAAAGTAAAAATAATTATTAGTAATAATAATAATATATAACAAAAAAAATAATACTCAAAAATATAACAAAAATAGGGCCTAGTAAAATAATGTTTGATAATAATATTATTAATAATAATACTGTAATAATAATAATAATAATAATAGAAATAATATTTCGTTCATTTGCCTTAAAAAAATTGAGGATGTTGAAATTTAGAGATCAATGTACAATGATAAAAAAACCAACGTAGTCTTGCTATGTTATATATATATATATATGCATGCTGCCTATAATATATAGATATACACACCAAAATGTATCTAACTCACCACCTCCAAGATACTAAAAAACAATTTAATAGACTGAATTACAATAATCCAGAAGAGATCCCAATAAAAGAAATTGTGTAGAAAATACTGATGACATAACAAAGGTATGGAACCCTATGTTCCTATTAAGCCAACTCCAAGTCCTGTCCAGACTATCAAATTGTATATGACAAAATCATGTGACATGCCTAAATATGGTGATGATGACATCACATCATGACCATATATAGGCACATCATGACTATATATGGGCATAGAACACAAAATTTGATAGTGTGGACAGAGTTTTACCACTGCAAAGAAACATTCAGCATATACTTAAAGCTTGAATCACTTAACCACTGTATGAACCCTATTCTATTTGCAATGCATAGTTAAACCCAAGTGCAGTTGGGAATTGTACACACATAACCATGAGCAGTATATACATACAAGATATAAAGTATTAAATCGCTTGATAGATGTATGCATTTACATTAGCCAGAAGCTGGTTTTACACTAGGCGAAATTATTCGCGCAAAACGAAAGCGCTGGTTCATGCGCATTCACATTTCTATCGGAGTTTTTCACTTGAGCGAAATTAGTAGTTCGAAATGTTTCTACTTTTTGAGAAGCGAAAAAATGCGCAACCGATCAGAGCTCAGGAAGCGAACCGACGCTTTCGATTTGCGCGAATAAAATTTTCTAGTATGAAACCGGCTTAAAGCAGAAGACATTCCCACATCAAAGTAACTCAAAACAATAGCTACACAACACTCTTGTAGAAAAAGGTTTCATGCTAAAAACTAATTAAGTGACGCCTCCCCTGAATTCAACACATTCGGCCATCAATATATCAGATTGATAGGTTTTAACTGACAAATGCAAACATTTGCGATTATCAGTGTTTATGAGGAATCTCATTTTGAGTGACTCAATTTCATTAAAAATTTCTATCCACTGCAGAATTAAAAATTATTACACCATTTTAAATGACAATTAAATTTCAGGAATAGAAAATCAAGTGGGAGTTTTCCAATTATACTAGACCCCATTGTACAGCAATTTACATTACTATTGAAGTCAGTGTAAGATTAATTTAATATCACACATGCGATTATCATATGTGGGCAGATTCCAATTAAAGGTGACATGATTAAAGCAGAGATTTATTATGCTATTAAAGAATTATGTACATAATTATAAATATATCTCATGAGATGATCCAGATTTGGGTTGATACCATTTTAGCTTCTACTAAAACCATTGCAGAATTAACAAAATCATAGATTATCATAGAAGAATCCAAATTTTAAGCTGACACAATTTAAATTTTCCCTAAAGACAAGTCAGTTTTAATGTAATCAGAATTTATAATTGTGATATAATTGGGTATATAATTTATCTGATTTAATTTGTTACTATGGATATGCCAATAGTTTACTATTATTGAATCAAACAATCCTAAGGAGAAGGAGGGGGTGAGGCATTAAAAAGCTATTTATTATTTTTATTTCATTTATTTCTTACTAAGGAATGCGCTAAGTAATAAAGCTATTGGTCTTCCTCAAATTAAGGACCATTTTTGGGACTGAGGTTTCCATGATCTTTAGAAGCTTTGGTCTTTAATTAGAACAAATATTATATAAAAGATATGATAGGCATTCATTTGGGGAGCCGCTGAAATGTAGTCTTTATTGGATGTAATCTTTAATTGGATGTGGTCTTTAATTGAAGGGGTTTTAATTAGAGGTAGATCTTGTACTATTTTTGCACCGGGTCAAGTTAGTAAGTCTCATTATGAGGATAAGGATTTGACCCCAGGACCATGAAAATGAAGGCAAGCATCTTTACCACTAAGTCAAAGACAATATTGAATTTTTACGCTCTTTTATTCATTCTCGTTTGATGTAAAAGTGCAATGTGTAATACGAGTTTTATAAGTACGAAATAATTATAATCATAAATTGGCACAAGTTCCTACTTAAAAATTACCCCCAAGTGAACCGTTTTCTACACTACGCTCTGACCACACAAAACTATCAAGCATTAATTCTTTAGTAACATATGCAATGGGCTACATGCTACTGGCTTAATAACCAATTAGCATAGTTGAATGAAAGGATGATGGATGAAATCTCGGGAGGTCTTCTCCCGATGGGTTTACCTTGCTTTAAGTTTCTCCACACGCCCAATCCGTAACTCACTATACTCTTTTCTATAACTTTAAGATATGAATGATAAAAGCATTGTGAATATTATTAGTACTCACCCTGTCCACCTGCATGTTAGAAACAGTGATGGCTCCAGAAATTTGCCCAAGGGGGTGGGGGCATAGGGGTGGGGTGCAGGGTAATTGGTAGGGTTCCTGAATAAAAATTCCTGGTAAGGTTCACAGGTAGAGTTTGAACTGTAATCAATCTACTTTTATGTTATGTTATTTGGATAGGAAGATTATTATTTTTGGTCCGACGACCTCATCGTGGAGTCCAGGGCGACATGGGCCTAGGCCTGTCCGACAGAGGGAAAAAGCCCTCCCGCTGGCGCCAACACTAGTTAGAAACATGTAAAGAAGCAATGTTAATAAGGTAGTTCCCAATTTTTTTTAATAAAGGGTAAAAATGTTGGTACTTATTTGGTTATTTATTGAAGGACCTCTGCAATGATTTGGCAATGATCCTGGTTGGAGAGCTCTCCTTCCCCACAAACCAACGTTATCTGAAGCATTTTCAACACCTCTAATAGCTTGATCTGTGGTATATCGTGGAGGTATTACTGTACACTTACATGGGGATATTCAAATTCCGCACATGTTAAATAGCTCATTTGCATTATCTAAAACACAGAGTGCATTGCTGGTCTTTTTGGCTGTATGTCAGAGAATTGTATAAATCCTTTACATTATAATAAATTGCAACATGGCATACAGCTTAATTTGCATCACCATTGTAACCCTTTAGCACCCTGACCACCTGCGAAAAATACCAGCCTTCACCATAGCCACCACCTGTACAACAAAACTAAAACACAGATTATCCTTATAAAACACACACACACACCTGTACAGCATTAGCATGTAAGACAGGGACATTGCTCAAATTATTCAACAATTAAATTTGACATTGACTACAGCATCAACAAAGACAACGTTGTGAAGCTTAAACCCGTTGAAGGAAATCAATGCTCCTCCGAATTAGATTAGATGTTTCACTGGTGACTATTTAGAAAGAAATGAGTATGTTAATGAGGTTTTGTTCTTTTTTATATGTCATACCTTGATGGGAGGTTCCATTATTTTTCACGAGAAAACTTGTATAGTAATTAGGTATTTATGGTTATATTATGACATAATTAAATTCATTAAAAAGTTACAGAAGTTCCAACTAAATTATTCTCAAAATTGTTCATGACAAAATCTGTTAAGATCTTGGGCTGAATTACAGGCAAGTACAACTAATAAGGCATTACAATTCCATTATGGAATAGTGACCCTTTTTATTATCATCTTCCATATTAACTATAAATATTAATATTCAAAACAGATTGTGTAAACATTATTATGAGAGTAATTCATGCAATGAAGGAAGTTGCACAACATCAAGTTATGTTCAAGTTAGTAAAGTGCACACACACGACTTAGAAAAAAATGAAATGTTATTAAAAGCCATAGTGATACAGACACGGTAATGTGTTTAAAGTTCTGTGTTTTTCTATTTTTTCAAAGTGATTTAAAATATATTTTACTAAAAATTTTAAAAATGAAGAACTTTAGTTTGAATATAACAATATCTTTTAAATGGCTCAATATTATTTTTTTTTTATTTCCGATTTTAAACTATATTTTAGTCTTTGTATCTAGAGGAAAGCCTTTGTACAATAAAAATAACACTACAAAACACCATTTAAAACATCATCTTACTTATTAAATTGCTTAAAAAATAATGGAAGAAAGTAAATAATATTTACTGCTTTATATGGAATCATTACAAAGAAGAGACAAACATGATCAAAGTGAGAAAAATGATATAATAAGATTTTAAAAACAATCTAATTCAACTTTTGGTATAATTTTAGTTCGGTATTGTTAGGTCTTTTAATATCATCTTTATTAAATTATTTTATTGTTTTTCTTAGCTCATATACTCGCCCTCTGGGATAGATGTAAGGTTGTTTTACACTAAAAAAATAGCCCTATAATAATGAATATTCAGCAGTTTATTTGAAATATGCATGACTGCACACACATTTGCATATAAATGAATATGCATGAGTGGAAATTGCATATTAAATGTATGCACATTTGAAGGCAAGAATTTAAAGTAGCAATTTTATGTAGAAATGTTTTTTAAGCAAGTAAAAATGGTTTCTTTTAAGCAGCAAGAAAAAAAAACTGTCTACTGGTTTAGTTACCATTGACCAGAATGTTAGGTGGTTAAATGCCAAATTACAAGGTCTGCAACCAACTTACTTTTATTACTATTACTCAAAACACCGGGGTAATACCCCTGAGCTGAACAGAAAAATGAAGAGAAAAGCAAAGAAAAAAAATAATATATATATATACATATTATTATAGTTGTATGAAAAAAGAGGTCTCTAGTGGTAATGAAACCCACAATCTCCCGCTATCTTGGTGAGCGTCATACCATACATCAGGCCGACTCGATGGAGTTCAATGTCATACCCAGGGAAGGGCACAGATCTGCTTTGAAAGGTGGAGGGGAATGGCATTTTGTGAGTTGACACCCACCTCAGCCCCACCATGGTTGGAGCTGAGGTGAGAAAATTTGAGGAAATATTACCTCTAGATGGCCAGAAATGACACTTTTAGTAACATTCATTATCATCACATCACTATTAGTCACTTCTCAAAAAAAAAAAAAAAAAAAAAAAAAAAAAGAATTTTTAGTTAAACTGTAAAATGGAAGTTATAAAATGGTAAAAGACTCATTTAAACCTGACATTTCACAGTATTTGAGAAATCAGCCTTTAAAGTTAACAAATTCAGGCAGAGACTATTACTAAATTGTTAAAAATTGTTGTTTTAACGTCGAATGTGTATGTATGTATGTATATGTGTGTGTTTGTGTGTAATGCATATATATATTCTTTTATTTTATTTATTTATTTTTATTTTTATTATTATTATATTTTTTTATTTAAAAATGTTATATAAATTATTGCATGCTATTTAATTTTTAATGACGCTGTTAGGAGAGCCACTTGATAGTTTAACTTTTTTGGCAATCCTTGGAAGGCAGCATCATGTTTTTGTTATATTTTTCCTGAAAGTAAATTTGAATTGAATTGAATATGGGGAAAATTATATCATAGTATGATGTATAGATATGTAAATTATAAAGGTTAGTTTAGCACAACAAAATTGCTTGTGAAGAGTGACTTGTTTGGCTTCTCTTCTCTATAAGAACATTTATGGATATACATGAAATGATGCAAGCTTTTAGAAACAAGAAAAATTGCTAAAAATAACCATACTGAAGAGAATTTTGTGTTTATCTCAATCTCCTTTTAAATAGTTAGTAAGTATTGATTGATATTTATGACTGGGTATGAAGATATCAATTTTATAATTGATTAGTATTTTCATAAATTTGATACTTTTGTTTATCATGACTAATTGCTATGTATTCTTCACTGCATCAGCACTTTCCATAATTCTTAAACATTTCATCCGTATCTCCACCAGTAAATATCATTATGGTATTAAAACACACTTACATCAACGCCAGCATCAATGTCTAATTTTATATGAAGGAGGTTTCGATTTGCGCAATGACATGACACTACAACGGATTCACTCCTGCGTGACCGTTTTATGTTCTCTGCACAATGTAGATCTGGCCAAATTGTGTTCTACGATCAACGTGACTGCGAGAACTTGAACGTTTTCGCATGTGTAGCTGACTTTATGTGACATTATGTACTACGCCCTACTGTCATCATGAAATCGAATGCTCTCTATTATATTGCTAATACTGGATCACAGCGGTAGAATCAGCTTTTCATATACACAAGTCAAGCCTCAGTTTCCAAATCAGAAAGAAATATAACCAGGTCATTCAAAATATTTTCTTGCTTATATGCCATGTTTGGATTTCTTCCCAAGATTCATTTAGCGAAAATATAAACATCGCAAATTAAGCAAACATCATTTAATACTGTTTCATAAATAATGGCTAATGGGGTGGATTAACATCTTCCAGTACAATTAGAATGTCGTTGAACTTGGTACCAAATTGTTATGTCTTTGAGTATTAATAACTCAAACTATTATAACAATGTAGAATTTGATACTAACACGTTGGCTGATAGTTTAAAAAAGGTGATCCCGTCTTATAAGCCGTTCAAAGTATGGGTCATCATTTAATAAAATGGGGAGAGGGGGCGTGTTTATTCGAGGAAAAACACCACAGGCCATTTATTCGAGGGAGGCGTTTATTCCAAATGAGGCTTTGGAGGGGGGCCATCTATTCGAGGGAGGCATGTAATCAAAGCGGGGCATATATTTGATTAAACATGTAATTAAACAATTACGCAAGCCCTTTAGTAAATTTAACCAAACAAGTTGTGTGCTTGTTCCACTACCCGAGAAGGCAGCATAATTGATAAAAAATATAGAAACCTTACACGAGTCTACGAGTAAATTTACAAATGGCGTGCAAAGCAAAGCACGGCACTAAATGTATTTGTCAAATTAACGTGACAATGCAATACCTTCTATTATAAAATCTGCTTGATCAACCAAATTGAGACCAACTAAGCTTTAAATTGAGCAAGGTTTGAGGCATGGTATCAACTATCAGATAAATTTTAAGATTCAACAGAATATTTTGGATCCGATTTTTTTGTCTGTCAGATTCTACAGACAATGTTTGATGACATTCATAAGCCCTGTCCAGACTATCAAATTTCATTTCACAAAACCATGTGACATGCCTAAAATATGGTCATGATGACATCACATCATGGCCAAATATAGTCACATCATGACTATATTTGGGCATAGAACAGATTTTTGTCAAAGATAATTTGATAGTGTGGACAGAACTTGGATTTATTACTTGAGTGCCAACTCCAAAGCATTCAATGTTCCAACAAAAATAGATGGAATATGATTGACAGCCAATGAAAACAATTTTGACATCTTTCCTACGTATGAAATATTTTATGATGCAATGGACCTCCCTGCAGAAGCCTAGTCCAAACTATCAAATTTTTATTTGACAAAAAAATATGTGACACGCCTGAATATGGTCATGACCTGACCAAATATAGGCACATCATGACTACAATAGTTTTTTGTTTTTTTTGCCAGGAAAATTTGATAGTGTGGAAAGAGCGTAAGATGCATGCGCAAAGCAATCACCATTTATTTTCCCTTTGGATATTGTCACTGAAGTCCCACAAAATGTCAGCGTAAATATACGTAAACATGTGCAATTTTGTGTAAGAAAACGCATATTGCTGGGCCTGTTGTGATTGGTCAGTTGTTAAAGCGTGTGTGAAAGGTCCGTTCTTGATAGACCTATTCAATAGCATGACAAAACAATGGCTCTCGCTTCCAGTCAAATCATTTCTACGTACCTGGTACGGCAACAAAGAACTTGACAGCATCACGGTGTCCGTGGAACGACAGCTGCGCCTGGGTGATGCTACAATACGGTATCATACTGCCGGGTCTGACGGTATCGCTGTTGCTGTCTGCATACACACGGATGACACCACCAGGGCGCACCCCTGTATTACTCGCTGTTGATTTTGTTGCTAAAAATAGCACAAATATGTTAATCAATCAGTTAAATTGTAAATGATGTATTTTTTTTCTCTCTTTTTTTTTAGAATTTTGATTTATATTGCATCTATCACAGACTGAAGAATATACAATGCGCTGGCGTCAGTATTTCCCTGGTCACTGGATTGGCAAACCAGCACATTTTTCTGCTCCATGGGGAGTATCCCACAACATGCTGCTTTACACGCTCAACCTAATACTTTCAATGCTACACCATCCTACCAAGTAACCATTTATACTCCAGGGTGGAGAGAGGCAAACGTAAGTAAAGTGCCTTGCCCAAGGACACAAACAATCTCGCGATCGGAAGTCTAACATCTTACACGTCGCGTCACTTGCTCCTATGCCTTATATGTACTGTACGTGTTGACCTAATGAAGTTCAACATTAAAGTCAGGCTCCGGAGGAAAAAAAAAATTTGTTATGTTGTAGAACTGATTTTTCTAAGACAGAAAAAAGTAGTTTGATCAAAAACTGAGCAACGGTGAATGAGATACAGATTTTTGAATATTTAAAAACTGGGGGAAAAGGTGTAAAAATGGGCGGTTACGGCCCTTTTTCCCCCAGTTTTTAAATATTAAAAAATCTGTATCTCATTCACTGTTCCCCAGTTTTTCGTCAAACAACTTTTTTCTGTCTTAGAAAAATCAGTTCTACAACATATCAAAAAATTGTTTTCCTCCGGAGTCTGACTTTAAAATTAAATATTTGAATAGATTATTTTGAACATTTAATCCCTGTCCAGACATTCTATTTGAAAAAAAAAACCAAACATGTGAAATGCCTAAATATGGTCATATGACATCACATCATGACTATATTTAGGCACATCATGACTATATATGGGCATACAACAGTTCTTTGTCAAAGATAATTTGATACTGTAATCAGGACATGGCTTTAGGGAAGTTATTACCTTACAATTGAAAATAAGCAACGTTTTGTTGCAAATTAACAGATACACAATAAAAAATTTTGTTGGATTATTTTATTTGACAAAAACGTGTGACATGCCTAAATATGGTCATGATGACATCACATAATGACCATATATGGGCATATCATCACTAAATATGGTAACTAATTATCATTATTATTATTATTATTATTATTATTATTATTAATTATTATTTTTTAAGTACTTTGCTGGCATTGAAGATCTAACACATGCAGTTCCTTTCTATAGATTTATTATGAAGGTAAATAACGCATAGGAATAGATAATATACTTACCTTCCGAAAGAGGTATTGAGATGATGACTCCATTGCCTGTGCCTACCCACAGCCTGTTGCAAGCAATCTTCAATGCTGTGATACGCACAAATGAGAAGCCTAGCTTACCAGTGCCTGTGGAATGTATGACAATATTTTAAATACTAGAAATCTTTCTTAATTTCAGTTTTCAATAAATAAAGGTACACACTACATATAAATTTGGCTTAAATACGAGTTACGACAGAGCATGTACAATTAACCCTCCAATTCTAGACTACCTTTTGGGGGAATGGATTGAAAATTTTGGGTGGTCTTCGGTGGTTTGGTCTCCACTTAGAGGGTTAGCTTAATGTTACCACTGAACTTCGCCAATGCACATCATTTGCCACTTTTAAAAGAAAACTTAAAGCATCTATTTTCCAAAATATTTTATAGGTAATCTCTATTATTTAAGAATGTTTATTGTGAATTTTTTTTTTTGTTGTGAATGTTCTGCTTATCCTTTTATTTTTATTTATTTATACTTTTATTTATTTATTTATTTATTTTATTATTTTTTTTTTATTGCTCTTGCTGTGTTTCACATTTTGAATTATTGCTATTATCATGATATAAATATCATTTTAATATTTCTCTGATTATTACTGTGTATTTTATATTTGTTTGTTGAAGACCCTAAATATCAGATCTCCATTAATGGTGAGCTGCACAGGTTATCCTCATTAAATAAAGTTCAAATAAAATAAAATAAATAATAAATTGAAGATAGTTATTAAAGTTTAAAAGTGTAAAGTTTCACTTTATGAAAAAGTGGTCTCGAATTTAAGAGAGGCCTTGGAGTACTGTATATTGTTTGAAAAATAGTAAGATACTGTCTCATGGGGTACTGCCAAATCCACCCCCAGCATGACCCCACTGAAAACAAGTCTTCAGACTTCTCACCTAACATTTTACTGACATACGGTTCAATATCGACATCCTGCAAATGGTCGCAGGTATGTGCATGATAAAGTCGTAGCGTACTGTCCAATCGGATTGAAACCCAGACGCCGTCACCTTGCCAGGCTATCTGTCGTACTTGGCTCTCTTTTCGTGGATGGGCATCAAATGATTTCTGAAAAAAGATATGTAAATTTAATAGCGATTAATTTCACTATTGGCAATCATAGGCCTGGATTGTATTTATTATGTTTTTATCTTAGTATAATTTATTGCATTTCATTTCCTAGTACTCCTTTTGTAAATAAAACAAAATATAACATTTTTAAAGGGATTTACATGTGGAAAATTCAGTAAATCAAATTAATCTTTTTTTACTCACCTCTATTTTTAACATGAGTGGGTTGATGATGTGAATTTTGTTACGGACTCCGCACCAGACCTTATCGTAAACAACCATCAGACAGCGAATAGAATGATTTGGTTTGCCCAGGTCCAATAAATGGTAGTTATTTAAATCCCACTGTCCATCTGAAATAGAAGTGTTAATACAATAAATACAGGGTATGAAAAAAGGAACAGTTCCTATTATATTGGTTATGTATAAAAATGCAAATTTCTATGAGTAAAACTTAAAGTTATTATCTTATTTAAATACACAAATTAGGCAATTTAAATAAATTTTCCAAATTTTTTTAGCTGATGATAGACAGTACATCTTTTAGAATACTTTTTAATCATACAATGCACTTTTAAGGCATGTGAATATTTTACACATGAGAAATATACTACCATTTAGAATTCTAAGCAATGAAAGATTTTTTACTTTAGATTAACTGCTCTTAAAGAGATGAAATACTCAAAAAGGCCACAGACAAAACTGTTGCAAAAAGTAAAACATAGGTAGGTTACCTGCAGATCTGTGAAATACGGCTATAGAGCCATCAGCTATGGCGACAAACACACGACCTTTGACATATCTGCACCATAAAAAAAATGCACATGAGTTTACATAATTCATATAGTAGATTTTTTTTTTCAGAATTTAGCACACATAATAGGTTATTAATATTACAGGAGTTGTATGATATTTATGAAATTGTAGATCAATTTTAAATAAAAGGTTTCACATACACTATAGCTAAAATTGAATCCTTGAGTTTGAGTGAGTGTAGACATCGCCTCCACTGGGAGACTGCAGAGTGCACATACAAACTGAAAATAAACAAAAATAGAGAATTGAAATATTAATACTAAAAACATTAAGGCCTGTTTATACTTCAACGATAACGATAAAAAAGCTAAAAAGGGATTGTTAATATAGAAAACAAAAGAAATAAGTTTTTACACTAGGACAATTCGTTAACGATTTATCGTGTGTACGATAACAAAATATTTTAACATATCCAATCAGATGATGTCATAATCATGGGAAAACTATAAAATCGTTGCTACTACTATGATTTTAATGTTTTTCCATGATTATGACATCATCTGATTTGATTTGTCAAAATATGTTGTTATCGCATAACTGATAAATCGTTATCGAATCGTTCTAGTGTAAAAACTTCTCTTATTTCTTTTATTTTCTATATAAACAATTGCTTTTTAGCTTTTTTTATCGTTATCATTATCGTTGAAGTATAAACAGGCCTTTACACTGAAGCTACTAAGGTACTTAGATATCAGTGGCAAAAGGGAGTTTCATACCGATATATAGTCATGATGTAATGTCATCATTACCATATGTGGCAAAGACAAGCCAAACCAGTCACTCATCACAAAAATTGATTTTAAGTTATTAATACATGGTTAAAAAGTTAAATAAGAGCTATGAAATGGTAAAAGAATAATTTAAATCTAATATGGTAAAAGAATAATTTAAATCCAATATTTCGTTACAGGAGTTTAAACATACAGCCGTTTAAAGAACAATATTTGAGAAATCGGCCTTCAAAGTTTACGATTTCAGGCATTTTCTTAATAGGTAGAAACCAGCAAAAATTGTTGTTTTAACATTGACAATGAGGAAAATAACAGCATAGCATGATGTATAGATATATAAAGGTTAGTTTAGTGCAATAAAATAGATTTAAAAAAAATTGACATTCCAGCATGTTTTGGCCATTTTTTCTGAAACACAATTTGCGACGAGTGACTGGTTTGGCTTGTCTTTGCTACGTATTTAGGCATGCCATATATTTTTGTCAAATGAAACTGACTGTTTGTAGAGGGCTTACTAGTAGAAGGTGTTAAATAGGAACAGAGATCACTTACCATCCATTCTGTCCTCCAAGCCACATAGTTGGTTTGACGCTGCTCATCTTCTCCGCTTCCACGTACATGAAGTCGTTCTCCATCTGTACCACCGACAGTCCATCCTTGAGAAAGTCGCTGGCATCTTGCGAGGCGCTTCTTGCTCGCTTGGCAGCCTCACTTTGTAGTGAGGTCACACCAAGGGGATCTTGCTGTACATCTGTCAAATTGGATAAAACATTACACAAAGTCATACATATGATGCCATTTCGACCAATCACGTACTCGTATTTACATAGGCTATGTAATATTATACAAATATTGACTGCTCATGCTAATAATAGTGAGCTTTCGCATCAATGACGGACGGACTCAAGGACAGTAATCTGACATGAACATCGATCTGCACATGCACGACCCCCCCCCCCACGGCTTCACGTTGTTGGCAAAATCACGAACTGTTTTTTGCCAATTTATCATCCGTGAAGAATCACAAACGACTAAATCAATCAGCCAATCAGCGCTCTTTAGGAATACCATTCTGATTAAATTTGTTCATGAATGTACTTGACAGTTTCTTACCACTTTCATTATCTGAATCAGTTTGGTCTTGTGAATTGAGAATTTTGCTTTCTGGTACCACACCTTCCATGCCAATTTTAGATTGCGTTTGGGGAGTTGTGGCAGCCTGTCGCAGTGCCTCCTCTGCATCTGTTGAGGACGTGATGTTTGTACTTACGTTGGCTTCGCCGACCTCTGCCTTGAACTCCTGACTGGATATACTTGTTTGGTCAGCTAGTGGTTTGTAAGTAACATGAAACATGAATAAAGATTTGCAAAGTGTAAATAACATGAAACATGAATAAAGATTTGCAAAGCTATGTACTTGTTTGCAGTGGTAAATTTTTGACTTGTCAGTTGTGCACGAATGATATTCAAACAAGCAATGTGATCCCATTGGTTAACTGGTCTGTTGTTTGCTCAGCATGTACCTTAATTTTACCGAGCATGCTTACCATTTACCATTGCCATTAGTAATTGTTATTCAATATATAAAAATGGGCTTTCAAATATATCAAAATATATGTAAAATCTTGAAAATTAAAATTTATGCAGAGACAATGAAAACTTTATATGACACGTGGCTTGTTAACAATATAGACCATTTTTTCGGGATTATTTTGAAACAGCGCCGCCAATGTCTCACAACTCACTTGGGCGGCCTAGCCTTTTTGTAACTCACCAGTGGCCTAGCCTGAGTAGCTGGCTAGTTACAAATAGAGCACCGCGTAGCCTATTGCGCCGCTAGACCTTTGCTATAGCAGCAGTAGACAACACATACCCTCATGCTAATTACTGTATGTAAACAGTGAAATAGCTTTTTAAGATTTAGACTTGTTTTTAATATAAACATTTCGTTCTTTTATTTTTTAAAATATTCATGCTCACTACTATAATTTAGTTTTATCGTTAATTATTCCATGATGGTAACTACATAGAGTGAAATACTAGGCCTCTGGAAATACCCCAGTGGCGGTTGCCAGTTTATCGAAAATTTTCATTTCAAACTTGGCGAAAATGGTGTATAACAGTATACCTCTATCTGATGATGGAGTAGTACTTCGTGGAGTGGAGGGCACGCTCACTGATACCAGGGTAACTGTACCAAATTTATCTTCTTCTTTTGAGTCTGATGCTTTTTCCTTTTCATCTTCAGTAGTAGCTTCAGTTTCTTCAATTGAAGGATAATCACTTTCTAGAGCACCTAGAATAAACATAGAATGAAGCATAACACCTGGCACTCTGGTGCACTAAACACATGGTACACCATACATGGTACAAGCTTTATAAACAGTACAAAAGTTTGGAAAATGTCTACAAAACAAGGAATTTTTAGAATTATACACTTGTACCTGGTACAGTTGTAATTGGTATACTGATACTTAGTAAAATGGTAGACTGGTATCTGTTATACTGTTACCTAGTAAAATGATAGACTGGTACCTGGTATACTGATACCTAGTAAAATGATAGACTGGTACCTGGTATACTGATACCTAGTAAAATGGTAGACTGGTATCTGGTATACTGATACCTAGTAAAATGGTAGACTGGTACCTGGTATACTGATACTTAGTAAAATGGTAGACTGGTACCTGGTATACTGATACCTAGTAAAATGGTAGACTGGTACCTGGTATACTGTTTACCTATTAAAATGATAGACTGGTGCCTGGTATACTGATACCTAGTAAAATGGTAGACTGGTACCTGGTATACTGATACTTAGTAAAATGGTAGACTGGTACCTGGTATACTGATACCTAGTAAAATGGTAGACTGGTACCTGGTATACTGTTACCTATTAAAATGATAGACTGGTACCTGGTATACTGATACCTAGTAAAATGGTAGACTGGTACCTGGTATACTGTTACCTATTAAAATGATAGACTGGTACCTGGTATACTGATACCTAGCAAAATGATAGACTGGTACCTGGTATACTGATACCTAGTAAAATGGTAGACTGGTACCTGGTATACTGATACCTAGTAAAATGGTAGACTGGTACCTGGTATACTGATACCTAGTAAAATGGTAGACTGGTACCTGGTATACTGTTACCTATTAAAATGATAGACTGGTACCTGGTATACTGACACCTAGTATTAAAAAATGATAGACTGGTACCTGGTATACTGATACCTAGTAAAATGGTAGACTGGTATCTGGTATACTGATACCTAGTAAACTGGTATATGGTATAATACCTTGCTACACTTGTACCTGGTACTTGGTACACTGTTCCCTGATACATGAAACCTACCATTGATCGTGTTCCTAGTCCACATATCAAGCACCCTGAGCATCTTACATTAGATGGATATGTGCGCTATATAAAACTACACTATTATTATTATTACCTGGTACACTACAGATACAAAGAACATAGGAATCGCTAACTGGAAACGAATCAAGTATGTTTTGTGGCTGGTTGGCGTCAACAACCGTCACCTTCCCGACTGCTTGCGTACTCGTGCAAATCCAGACCAGTGACGATAAGTTGTTTTTCTGACATTCTTCTTGCTCTTTCTTTGCTTGCTTTAGCTCTTCATCAAGTTTATCAACTTCGCTTTCGGATGTCTGCGAGGTATTCTGCCCATCCTCCAAATTTGAGGCTGAGTAGAAAACACTGGCGCCTACAATAGAGCCACCATCCCTGGTTCTACCACCTGTCAGGTTCACTCCTGCTGCACACCATATCTGAAATGAATGAAAAAAATGAATATTCATGAACTTCATAATTAAGGCTATTCATGAAAATGTATTAATCAGAAAGAAATGCTATTTGTTACACAATAATGCATCATTTGATCTGCATACACAAGTTGGAGTCCTTTGCTATAACTTATTTGCATGTCAGATTTCTCATTCATGTGAGTCCTCATTTGCATATACAGTATAAGACTTATTAAAATGCAATGATAACTAAAAGAGGTATGTTGTTACCTTTGTTCCTGGTTCTTTTTCTAGGAGAGGCCTACAAAACACAGGAACAGGGACACCAACCAAGCACCCTCTGTTGCTCTCTGCAGGCTGTATACTCTTCGATGGCGGTTGATGTTTAGCGGGTAGGCTCCAACCGTAGGCCTGTACTCGCCCGTCGTCTTTCTTCACATGGGCCTTCACCTTCTTGTACTGTTCCCGCCGTTCTTTCACACGCTGTGTCGCGTCTCTGAAGAAGATACAAAGATACGATGTGATCATGTGACAACGTATGTGGAATATATTACTTTCGGGGTTTTTAAGGACAAACTGAATTTTTGAAACAAAAATGAGACATGTTCTCAAATTTAGTATGTACTGTCTAACTTATGAGGCATAAACTGTTTAAGAATGTGACTTGTGGAATAAGTGGATAAGCCAAACCACTTCTAGAAATATAACTTATGTTATATTGTAAGGCTGTAACATGGCAAAACATGAGAAATGGATGTGACGGTGAAATATTTTGGCAAGTATAAAAAAAGTGTAATGTATTATCCTGAAATAAATTATTGATGACAAACAGGGTTTTCTATGCTGCATGTTAAAGCACTGTTTATGAATAATGTTCAATTACTTTACAGCTAAAGTTAATTTACTTTTAGTTGTTCATGTGCTATTTTTCATATCATAGTTGTATTAACAAATACAGCATGTTATTTTTAATCTATTTTTGGATATAATAATTTATAATTTTAAAAGCATTTAACTAATAGACAAATCCTATTTGAATAATGGTTTTGATTACCACCAGATACTCACATAGTAAAGTAATTGGTAAAATATTAAAGTAAATATATAGTTAAGATAAAATAAGTCTTTCCCTGAATAAACTTACTATATATTTTTATGTATGTATATATGTATATTTTGCTTTCTCATCATTACTATAATTACTATTATTGTATTAATATTACTGCTATTAACATTAAGATTATCATAAATGTTATCATCGTATTATCATCATTGTCCTGTATTCATTCAATACAACACCTCACAATTTTCATTCAGGCATAAAGTAGGTATTTGACATTTCAAAGACCATCTGATACCCAGCTTAATAACCAAGAAACCAGGTTTAAGTATGCAATGATTGTCACTTTAAATGACAAATGAGAGAAATTGTCAGATGATGCTACACAGGTCTGTAGATGGTAGGCAGGTGTATGAATACTATGCAGGTGTGTAGATTCTAGCCAGGTGTATAGATACATAGGCACATGTACAGTATGACTGATTTCTTCCCCGAGAAAAGGTCAATTTATGTACACTATCAGTTGTAGATTCAGGAAGGGGGCACCTAGCCGGCACCGGGCCCCACAAAATAAAAAAAAAAATTAAAAAGACAAATAGAAAAATATATTCAAATTTTAAGTTTTTTAGTGTCAATTCCGGACATCTAGAGGTGCCATAATCATATATTGTCTTACCTCAGCCCCACCATGGTGGGGGCTGAGGTGGTTTAGAGGCTCCATTTGTGAAACACCCTCCCTGAGCCCTTTTTATTTCATATTCCTGAATCCGCCACTGAATATTTATTCTTTCCATATGCATGTACTACCATTTTTAAAGGTGAAATGAATTCTGCGAGGCAAGAAAAAGGAGTCAAGAAAGGAATCGCAAAGGGTCAGCATTTTAACACTCACTGACAACATACTTAAGCACTGCTAAGACTATCAAATTTTATTGGACAAAAACATGTGACTTGCCTAAATATGGTCATGATGACATCACACCATGACCATATATAGGCACATCATGACTATATTTGGGCATACAACATGTCAAACATAATTGGATAGTCTGGACAGGGCTTTACTCAATACTGACAATTTATGTGCGATAAGAACGTGTAAATGGCACACGTGACATGCATGAATGATTTTTGCGTGTAAGTGATTGTTGTGAAGTTCTGCATCAAACTGATATTCTTTCGTAAGGAAAAGACATTTGAATTAAATTAGTATAAAATTTGTCATGCAACAAGAAAATAGAAAAAAGAGAGAATTAAAAAATTACAAAGATAAATTAAAAAAAACCAAGTTATACTTCTTATAACATATTTGATCATATTAAATTAATATTTCGGAGTTTTTTCCCCATATTTTATCATAAACAGTATATCTTTAGTAATATCGAGTATGGTAATGATTGGAAATTATATGATCAATTTGATAATTTAAATATTGAACCTTTCCAGAAAAACAATTTCATGCAGAACTAAACAAGTAAAAAACACCAATATAAAACCAAATGATAAAGGAACAACTTGTTAAATTCAGTAACATATATTTCAAACCAAAAATAGGTCTCCACCAATAAATTTAAAACAATTATACATGCATCTGTTACATTAAAATAAAAATCTTTTAAAATACAGTAAATCCATAACCATTTTATAAAAATGACAACAGATTTGATTATGTTTGTGCTAGCACAACATATAGACACTTAAATCATGAAAATAAAATTATAATACAATATATTACTGTACAAAGGCACGTGTAATCGAGAATTTCAAGTAATGAACAAGAAAAATTAATTGTGTAATAACATCAATAATGATAATAATAATAATCATAATAATATGTTAATTATATAGTGCATAACTATAACTCAAAGGACATTGTGTGACAGGCTTACAGAAAATCCCTAATCTCTGTCTATACTATCAAATTGTATGCAACAGATTTGTGTGATGTGCCCATATATGGGCATGATGATGTCATATTACACCCAAATATGGGCATATCAATTTATCTGATAGTGAGGACAGAACTAACATTCTAGTTCAAACTAGTCTTGCTCTATATATGCATTCATAAACAGAGTATAGTGTCAAAGTTTGAAGTACGACTTGTCCAAGTTGTCAGTTGTTGTCAGTTGCCAAGCAATGGCTACCAAGCAACGGCTACCAAGCAACAGCTATCTTATGACTACATATTACAGTTAATTTCATCATGTTAAGCTTAACTGGAATGTACCTTTGATTAAAGACATTCATGATGCATTTGAGTTGTACTGTATTTATATAGTTATATTTCTTGCACAATTAAATTGCAAGAAATTTAGCTTGAATTTGAGTAAATAATTTCAAGTCAGTCCTAGACTACAGTGCTCATGAAAAAAACAATTGAAGGTTGAAGTCTATTTATTTAAACATTAAATGACAATTTTGGGCCAGCCTAGCTTAAAATAAACTTCATTAAAAAAAAATACGGGTGTTGTGTTAAGCATTTACTGTTTTATGTCCTCAAAATTATAAATTATACAAGATTTCAGATGATTACAAGACGGCTTTTTGTCAATCATGAAAAGAATTATTATGATAGGTTGTAAAAATATATCTCTTTTAAAGTTAACATTGAGTCCATAAAATAATTAGGTATAATACCACACACAGCAGTTACAACACAATACTACAAACAATCTATATGATTTATCTTTATAATTATCTTTTATCATTTTTAATATCTTTTTGCACTATTATATTACTAGTATTTCTTATCATATTATCAAGATAATTAAATTATTTTTTTAATGAAAATCTTGCCATGGTTTTATTTTATAGCTTTGTAATAACAATATCTAACCAGCCACCCCAAAATGGGTAATGTTGCACCGTTTTTTAATTCAGATAATTATCAAAATAGGTTGCTCCCTGAATTTAGGAAAAATTGGTTTTCATAATTTTATATTACTGCAGCTCAATGCCTGTATCTATGACTTGCACTGTTGGTTTAGTTCAAAAACATAAGCGTATAATTTTAATACCAACATATTTTTGAATATTCCAACCAAACTTGTGGCCTAAAGATGATTTTATTATTATATTACTAAATTGTATCAATCAATACAATTTTAATTACACAAATAAATCTTTTATTATGACTTTGTGATGGTGGTAATATCAAATTAATGGTGTCTGGTGCAACAAGAATAATTTTGTGGCAAGCAAGATCACACGTCACAAACAAAAGTGTCTGGCAAGAATTGAACCAGTGCAAACTAAATCTAAATGCAATGCACTCATATATATATATATATATAAACCATGGCCAATACTGAGTAAATGGTTATCCTGAACAATGATGGAATGTTGATATTATCACCAAAAAATAGCCTATAAGCACACCTATGCCAGTACTACATAGTACAGTGTTTTATTATCTAAATAATTTTCTATTGTCCACTTTTGCACAGAAACTAATTTCTTAGTACTGAATGAAAATACATAATAAGCATAAAGATATTTCTTACACTAGAAAAATACATTTTTAAAAAATAAAATAATAAAGACCAATATAGATAAC